ACCCCCCTTCCCATGTATTGTAAGCCGCCCTGAGTCCCCTCAGGGAAAAGGGCAGCCTATAAATCATAAATAAAATCCTAAAAATAAAATCTTAAATCCTAAAAAAAATCACCATAGATAGTTATTCTTCAAAATACTTGTTCTTTAAGATTCCATCCATGAAAAGTATTAAGCTAATATAATTTTTGTGGCCCAACTATAAATATACTAGTAAGAATTAGCAAACTGGACTTAAGGTGTTTGTTTCCATTGTCAATTTTTTTAGGAGTTATATCAGGAATGTATCTTAATAAAGTAGCAATTTACTTTTGTGATAAAACAAGAAAAATGAAAGCTAATTTAACTATGATTCAATTTTGCAAAGCTAGTAAATTGAAGAATAACCAGAAAGAACTAAATTTCATCCTTTAAATTAAATCCATACTGCCGTACCTCATATCTCCAAACTTCTTGCTGATAACTGTTCCAACGTTGTTGATAGCTGCTGTGGCCTTTTGCCCTGCTTGAGTTAGAGTTTCTTGAGTCTTCTTATACCTAGTGTAGTGTAAATAGCAATCCTAATTAAGAACAAGATTTGTGCCCTTAAGATATCAGCATATCATAAACTGAAAGCAAGAAGCCAACATTCTATTACAAGAATTGAGAGCCAAAGTGCAAACTGAGTTACCAAAAGGGTGAATGAGTTGTATCTATGTCTAAAATGGGTTAGTCATTCTTTCAAATCATTATTATGCTCCTAAATATGGCTGTGCATTGTTTGAAATTGCTAACAGCAGCTCTTCCATGCAAGTTTGAAAAATAATATAGTCACTTTAATTAATTGCAATGAAGATATGAATGCTTTAACGAGTCACTTATTAAAGCATCCATATTCTTTTTTGAGAATCACACAGGAAACTGAAAAAGACAGTACTGTTTTAAGAGATTTAAGAGCATTGTACTTCTGCTCCCACATTCCAAAACACTATCAAGTGGTTTTCAAAGCTTACAATCTTTACTAGATATGCTCTAAACTAGAAAGAGCAAGAAGCTTAAACATCAACTTCCTTAGGAGATTGTATTTTTGTATTGTATTTTATTATTTGTATGCCGCCCTTCTCCGGGAGGACTCAGGATTCAGGACCACTGACTAAAATAATATACAACTTGTTTCCTTAATATGTTAATTGCTAGTTATCCATTACATATTGATGAATGAAGTGGGTAGGGCAGTAAAAATGTGATTACTTAGCTAAAGAGAAACAGTCTACAATTCTACTGTCTTATACTGCAATTTGTGAATGGTTGAAGAGTGAGCAACAAAATAGCAGTTAGACTTATATACCGCTTCATAGGACTTTCAGCCCTCTCTGAGCGGTTTACAGAGTGCATTGCCAAGACCATTCATTGGAATGGTGCACATCAGTCAGATTGATCTGTGTTGTATAGATGGGTAAAGCGTTATACTGGTTAAAATTATCACATAGCTAGGAAATTTGATGGCTAATCAAGATTATTGCATTGAGCATTTCAAAATTAAAATGTCAACTACAATAGGGGGAGAAAAACCAATAGCCATCTCAGTTGAGTTGATTGAACAGATTCACATTGAAAGGAATTCTGCTTTTTCTCTTAAAACAGACAACACAATGCATATCACAATCCTCTTAAATTTACACGTGACTGATTTATAGATTATGCTTTAATTTGCTGTGTTTCCATTTTTCAATACAACTGCAAAACTGTTTAAAATCTAGAAATCAGCAGGTTAGTTTTTGTCAATTATATTTGCTGAGTATGCTCATTCATATCTCACAATTTATCTTTACCTTTGTACCTATGCTGGAGGTATATGCTCATAAAGGTAAAGGTAAAGGTTCTCTTCGCACATATGTGCTAGTCGTTCCTGACTATAAGGCTCGATGCTCATTTCCGTTTCAAAGCCAAAGAGCCAGCACTGTCTGAAGACGTCTCCATGGTCATGTAGTCGGCATGACTAAACACAGAAGGCGCACAGAACACTTTTACCTTCCCACCAAAGGTGGTTCCTATTTTTCTACTTGCATTTTTACATGCTTTTGAAGTGCTAAGTTGGCATAAGCTGAGACAAGTAACGGGAACTCACTCCATTACATAGCACTAGGGATTCGAACCAGTGAACTGCCGACCTCATTGACAAGCTCAGCATCTTAGCCACTGAGCCACCTCGTCCCTCATACTCCAACACTATTACAACTATTCTTTGTTTTACTCTGACCCTTTGTAAAAATACTGAGCAAGCAGATGGCATCAATCTATTTGCATTTATATACAGTTGTTTTACCAAACCCAGTAAAATGCAGTTCATTGATTATAATTTAATATATTTTTTTCTATTAAGTCTTAAAATGAAAACAACTGTGACCTAGAGGAATGGAGAAATAAAAAATAAAGTGAAATTAAAAAGTATATCATTAAGAGAAACAGGATTGAATACTAACAAATAATAATAATACAAAGAACCTGCTAAATTTTGATCAATCTACTCCCAATCTTAAGGAATAACTCCAACAAAACCATTTTGTAAATCCAGTATAAGACAGTATTCTACAACACTCTTCTGATTTTTAGGTGTCTATCTTTTTGTAATATTTAAGTCATCATCCAATTTAATTTGTAAACCATTATTTCCATCCATTTCCCATAGGCTGTAATTTTTAAATGCACTTCTAAGTCAACTTCAGTTTTAAGAAACAGAATTGTTCCTCTTCAATAACATCTTCTGATTCTCCTATAAAATTGAATAAGTTAAAAACTTCTTATAGGCATATCTCTGACACTTATTTCAATATAGCCATCTAGTGCCCTCTTGTGGCCAACTTTTTAAATCATTTTATTAGTCTCCGTGTACAAGCAGAAAAGTTCTCCCACAAGGAAGGATCCTTTCAATTAATTTCAAAATCTTAAATAACTGAGCCTTAATCCATTTAAAAGTTTCTAGGCAACAGTAAACTAATCATCAGAATTATATCTTGTGATGGAAAGTGGATGATTAGATTAAATAGGAAACTAAGAATGGAACAGATTTAAACCTTACTATTTGTACTGCAGTTAAGCGTTTGCAGAATATTAACATTTGCCATGAACGTTTCTAAAATAGTAATTTGAAGAGAGAAGTTTTTTATTATGAATACTGGGGTAGCTGATTAAAGGTTTGAAACCATTTAGAGACAGAAGGAAATGCTTTACCTGCTCCATGAATCTAGAAACTTTAATAGGTCATTATAATTAATAAAGACTAATTGAAGAAAAATAAAGTCTGGTGTATCAATTGGGTGCCTCTCATGCTTTACAAAAGTGTATATGAAACTAGCTTCTTTGTAGAGACTTAATGCAAAAACTGAATAGGGATGCAAGCAATATCTCATGGTGTTTTTTTTATTTCCTATCCATTAAATTGTTGGTACTGTCTTTAAAATATATACCTCTTTGGACTCAGATAAGCCCATCTATCTACAATGCATTCTTTGAATGTCAAATGGAGTTGGTTTGTCCAAAGAATAATATCCAATGTTTATTCTAAATTGTCCAGTATATTTCCTTCAATTAATATAACAAAAAAGGGAGGTTTCCCTATATAGCAATGCAACCTTGCTACATAGCAGGCTCAGTCTTTTCTGTACCTGACAAATTGACTTTAATGGATTTTCATTGACAGGGGGTAGCAAAACAACAACTCCATTTCCCCCAAAAGATGCAAAGCATCCCACATAAGCTAGGCATTCCAAAATTATTTCTAAGAGTGTAAGTTGACAGACTTGATAATTCATTTGTCTTGAACCTCAATAATGCTCCATGAGAAAGACCAAGCCAACAAAACAGGGAGAGTCATGATAGAGTGGTAGATAAGCATTAAGTTGTGGAAATCAAATTGGTTCCACCCCATGTTCTGAATGTCTATGCAAGTTATCAAGTTATATAGCTACAGGAAAGAAGAGTCAATTTGCACTCACGCAGTAGTAGTTTGCACATCATGCCAACTTTTGCTGAAGTTCTGCTTCAGTTCATTCATCATATTGATGCCCAGCTTTTGTTTTATTTCCACAAGGTGCTTCTCTTTGGCTGCTAAAACTTGGCGTAAAGTTGCAATTTCATCCTCTAGCTGCATATAAGAAATAAAGCAAAGGAAAAGCTTGGATCATTACTCCTTGTTTTTCATACCCATTAATATTTTTTTTTGGGGGGGGGGTAAATGTGTTTTATTTTCCATTTTCATTTTCATACAGTCACACATATACTGTACAGAACCGGGACCATATAACATTAAACAATAAAGACAGCCATT